AGTGAAAAGCGGTGTCACACCTCTTTCATCAGTCTGACGCTTCCCGTATCTGCCGCTGCCTTGGGTGCTTATGCCCTGCCCTGTGTTTCTTTGATTTATGGTCTAGATTGTTTTTTACCCTTCCCTTTGTCTCTCTACTGCCCTTGCCTTTGTCAGGTATATGATGTATCTTTTTACGTTAAGAGGAGATGAAAAAAAATCCTATGCTAACTAAACTAAACCAACATCTTGTTCACAGTATACTCAGAGTTGTCAGCCAGTATTATCCTAGAGTTTCTCCATGAAGTAGCATATTCACCTGCACTGAAGATCTTCAAATGGAGATTTGATAGCCAACTGCCCAACAGGCTTTACCAAATCCTGCTCTGAGCAAGCTATTCGATAGAATCAGACTGAAAGTGACCTCAGAGATCATCTAGGTTGTGTCCATGAAGTTTACACCTAGATAAGTTGATAGAGGATTTCAGCCTATGTGATATCTTGATGAAGTAGTTCAAAACCAGGAAGACTTGTTCAAAAGTCCATCAGAGTTGGACGGCTATAACAAATTTGAATAAATAAAATACTGCATGATGTATTAAATGTTACGCAGAACTGGTCCATCTTGGTTCTAGTAAGAAACTGAACACCTCAAATTACTTTCTTGGTTCCTACCTTAATTTCCTCTGGTGATTCAGTTCAAATGAGTAAGCCTAGTTAGTCTCATGAGTTTCACAGTAATAAGAATAGCTGCTGCTGTCTTATTCACAGATCCTGGTCTGTGAACAAGCCACTTATTTATATTCTAAATCTGTTAGAGCTGCAACTTTTTCAAAGATACCTGAATTTGTCATAATTTATCAGTTACATTTGCATGTGAATAAAATCTTTCTCTAGGGTTTATTTATTTATTGCATTTATAGACTGTTGAATTCCTAAGCACTGTTGGCAGTTTACAAGATAAAATATGCAAGAAATAATAGAATGGAGCTGCTTGGCAGGAATCTGCAATAAATGTAGAGAAGAATTGCTATTTCACTGCTACACACCAGTGCCTAGGCTTGAAAGTTAGCTGTTACCAGTGCTTGGCTGATCCCTTTGCAGGCCTGCACAACACAAGGCCCATGGGCCACCAACGTTTTTCAAAAACTAGTAAATTTACAGCTGCTTCTGCCACCCAAAAAAACATTCTTCCGAGCACTTCC